GCGTACTCGAGCGTTGCTATCGCGAATAGATCTTCTAAATTTATGACAACAGTCAATAATTGAGAAAATGAACACCACATGATAATAAATAAACAATTTGTTTTTATTTCTTGATATTGATTAATTTCTTGATATTGATTGCTTTTTCTTTGAAAATTTCTTGATTAAATTTTTTTTTTGCACTTGTTTTTTACTATATTTAAGAAACTATATTGTGTGAAACGAAGTCAATGATTAGAAGGCACACCTTTCTGCAGATATTAGCTGGTTTGCTGAATAACTTCTTTCTAAAGACTTAATTTTAAAACCTGATATTATTTATAAGAGTTTCAGTCACACTAAATATTTTCTAAACAATATTATATTTAAGAAACTATTGAACAAACAGTTTCTATGGGTCAATAATTTAATCAGTCAAAAAAATCCAATGCAATAACTAAATTAGGAAAATATTAAAGGAGTTATCAAATACCCGAGTATTCAAAATACTTTAAAAAAATTTATTTAAGATTTCCAAACACTCGATTTATACATCTGAGAATGTTCAGGGCTTTTTTTTAATCTTTAAATTGTTTCAACTTGTTCAAAAATTTAAAAAAAATTGATGCAATTGACTTACATAAAGACTAAAAGAAATTGAATAAATTTGCAATACAAGATCGTAAACTTAACATCTTGTGATAATATATGTTGTGATGTCAACCGACGTCACCTTCCGTCATCACTACGAGTCAACGACGACAGCCTGTAGTTTCTGAATAGCGGCGCTGCCTTACCTTTCCAGAGAGTATATATACCCATTCCTAATAGATGTTCATCGCTAACCTTGTTACGTGCTGTAAGCATGTTATTGTGATGTTATGCTTTATTGTTTTATTAAACTTATACCTTTGTTATTATGTGTCTTAAGTGGATACCACCAAGAACATCTCACAATACAATACGTGGCGACGAGAAGGGATCGTATTCCACTGATCCTATTTCACGAAAATTGGAATTCGACCGCACGGCATGACGAAGTTCAACTGCAATTGGATTTTTTGTGAAGATGCAATTGGATATCAACTGGATTTCTGTGGAGAAGATTGCCCGCCATGAGTTGTTCATGAGATTCAATACCGGTATTATTTAATACTTCCGGTAGGTGTTTTAAATGTTTAATTCCGTTTTTCTATTTGCGATATTTTCGTCAGGCTTAAGTTAAATTTCGCACTAAGATGGCGACGGTAGGCTCTATTCAGGAATTTGACACTTCAAATCCAAATTCATTCGAGTTATATGCTAATCAAATTACTTACTTTTTGGAAGCTAATTCTATCGAAGATGATAGTAAAAAGCGTGCGACTCTTTTAGCTGTTTGTGGAATTAAAACTTTGTCTATAATTCGGACTTTAATTTCGCCAAAAGAAGTTACAGAATTTAAATTTCAAGAATAAATTAAACTTTTAAAAGAACATTTTTGTCCTAAATCTTCAGAAATATTTCGACGTTTCAAGTTTCATAAAAGATTTCAATCAAAGTTAGAATCTGTGAATGCTTACGTTACTGAGTTAAGAAAGCTGGCCGAAGATTGTAATTTCGGAGAAACTTTGTCAGAACGTTTACGAGATCAATTAGTCTGCGGTATTCGCGATGAAGAGGTTCAAAGAAGATTATTGGCTGAATCCAAATTAACTCTTGAAAATGCCATTTCTGTTGCAGTAGCATCTGAGGTTGCGGCTTCCCAATCAAAGCATATTCATACCCAAAATTCTTCTTATTCTGAGAATTCGGATGTAGTTGATTTTGTACGTGGTAGGATAGGAACAAAAGAAATAATGCGCGATTTAGTAAACAAAATTCTAACGTTTCAGGTTGTAGCAAATCGCAAACTCAAAATTCTAAAGTGTGTTTCGGTTGCGGTGGTAAACATGAACGTTCAACGTGTAAATTCAAAAATGCAATATGCCATTCTTGTGGTCTTAAGGGTCACATTGTAAAAGTTTGTCGGAAGAAAAATAAATTTGAAAAACAGCGTGCAAATGAAATTGAAGTTCAACCGGATTATTTGAATGTTTTAAGTTCTCAATCTCCGAGAAAAACGTTATTGTTGTGGTCGATAAGGAAAAATTAGAAATGGAAATTGATTCGGGTTCATATTATTCGATTATTTCGATTATTTCTTTGCAAACGTTGAATAAAGTTTTCCGTTCTAAGAAACCCGTGATCGAAAAAACTTTAATTAAACTGCGCGACTTTTCTAAAAATGGGATTTCACTAGCTGGCGTATGTAAAGTTCAAGTTGTGCATAACCTTTTCAAATCTAAGTTAGAATTGTTAATTTCAAATAATCCCTGTACGAATATTTTGGGGTATTCTTGGTTTGAACCTTTAGGAATTTCAATAACAGGAGTAAACGAAATTAGAACTGGAATTATCGAAAAAGTTCTTAAAAATTACGATGATATTTTTGATAAAAAATTGGGTTCGTATACGGGTAATCCAGTATCGCTTCCTATAAATTCGGATATGGCGCCTGTTAGATGTAAAGCAAGAAGCGTGCCTTTGGCAATGAGGCCCAAAATTGAAGCCGCCCTAGCAAAACTTCAAAGTGAAGGAGTAATTGAGGAAATTTCAAATCCAAAATGGTCAACACCGGTTGTTCCAGTGATTAAACCGACAGGTGAAGTACGTTTGTGCGGTGATTATAAAATCACGTTAAACAAAGCAATGAACGCACATCCTTATCCAATTCCCGCGGTAAATCAGCTTCTTTCTAATCTTAAAGAAGGAGGTTATTATGCTAAAATAGATTTGGCTCAAGCATATTTACAATTACCGGTTGATGATGCTTCCGCCGAAGCTCAGACTATTATCACGCATAAGGGTGCGTATAAGGTAAAAAGACTTCAATTCGGAATTAACGTAGCCCCAGGAATATTTCAAAATTTAATCGAAGATTTGTTTCGAAATTCACAAGGGGTTGTTCCATATTTTGATGATGTACTCGTCAGAGAAAGTTCGGAAGAAGAGTTAGCCGCTCGTTTGGAACAAGTACTAGATCGTTTGAGAAAAGCGGGACTTAAAGCAAACAGGGAACAAAACGAGCGATTAATCTTCACTTCGGCCGGATCACGTTATTGGTCGAAGATGACATCAGCGTTTGGGGGAATGGACATGCTGTGTACTGCATAGTAAATTGGCGACAGATCTTGATTTGGCTACAGATTTTAAATCTAGTTTTCAAACGCACTCTGTTTACACGTGGTATTAATGTTTCTTGCTGTATCTAAAATGTTTTCTTGTTTTTATTTATTAATGTTTCTTGTTATTATTAATTATAAATCAGGTGATTTGCGAATATTGCGAAAAAATATTTAAATGAAATAAAAATTTATGCGAATCATAAGGCTGACTTAACTGGAAGTTTGAAATGAATTTACTTAATTAACATGTTGTTTGATTATGAAGTTTTTAAAATTATTCATGACACAACTAAATAACGATGTATCAGTAAATTTGAGCTTATATTTATTTCAACTTCGTTACTTTATAACTGTAAAAGATAATTCTCAAGGAAAAGCAACAATAAAAAAACGTATTTGTAATATTGCTATACCATCTTATATTTGCAAAAACATTCATTATTTTTGTTTATCATGTTTTTAGCTTTCATGATTTTCTATCAATTAACACAAAAATATTGTCTGAAATACTGAAGAGGACATTTACCTATCTCTCCCACCCTAACGACGACATATAATATTACGTAAAAATTTACTAGGAGGAAATAAATTCCGAAGCACGTGTGAATGCGAAATTTGTCGCCAAAATCATGCAAACACTAGCCAATGGCCACCATCTCCCTTCCCCCAAACAGTGATGTAATTTTCGATCAATAGCGTGATCCGGCCCAAGTGAGTATTAATCGCTCGTGGAACAAATGCTTATTTGGGGTAACGGAAGTAGATTTTTTGGGCTACCGTATCGATGCAAAGGGAATCCACCCCTCCAAAAGTAAAGTAGAAGCGATTCATGCTTTTCCGGTACCTAAAAATAAAGTTCAGTTACAAGCGTTTTTGGGTTTGATAAACTTTTATAATAGTTTTCTAAAGGGCAAAGCTACTAAAGCTGAAGTATTACATAGACTTCTAAATAGGGATTCAGTGTGGAAATGGTCTGAAGTCCACGATGAAGCTTTTCGATATTTAAAAGAATTGTTAAGTTCCGAAGCGGTTTTGGTTCCGTTCGATGAAAAATTGCCGATAACTTTAGTTTGCGATGCATCTCCGTTTGGCGTAGGAGCTGTCTTAAGTCATGTTCTTGAAAATGGTTGCGAAGCACCAATAGCTTTCGCATCGCGTACGCTCACGTCGACAGAAAGAAATTACGCGCAAATCGACAAAGAGGCGTTGGCAATTGTGTTCGGTATAAAAAAATTTCATCATTTTGTTTATGGACATAAATTCACTATTATAACTGATCATCAGCCTCTGCTAGGAATTTTTTCAAAAAATAAGCCTACTAAAGAAATTTTGTCTCCGCGTATGCTGAGATGGTCTTTAATACTTAATGCATATGAGTATACTCTAATTCATAGACCAGGGAAAAAGATTCAAAACGCAGATTCTTTAAGTAGACTCCCAAAAGAGACTGATAAATTTGAGGTTCCCGCTCCTTTAGAGATATTGTTTACCGAGGACTTACAAGATCCTCCGCTTCAGGCAGCAGAAATAGCAAAATTAACATTGCGTGATCCAATTTTGTCAAGAGTACTAAATTGGGTTTTGAGAGGATGGCCAAATGAAAAACCAGATAAAAAAATTCAGACTTTTTTTTCGAAACGTAACGAACTTTCAACCCATCGAAATTGCTTGTTATGGGTTAATAGAGTAGTTATTCCAGTGTGTGGAAAATCACGTGTTCTCCAGGCTCTGCATCTGGGACACCCAGGGATCGAAAGAATGAAAGCTCTCGCACGTTCATACGTGTGGTGGCCAGGCATGGACCACGACATAGAAGTGCATGTTCAAAGATGCCAGGAATGTCAACAGACACGCCATGCCCCACCTAAAGCTCCAGTGCATCCATGGGAGATTCCAGAGAAACCTTGGTCCCGTCTTCATATAGATTTTGCAGGTCCGTAAGTTGAGACAGGAGCAAGATGCGTATAGAAAAAATGGTGGTTCTCTTCCGAGATCGTTCAGTGTCGACGATCCAGTCTTTGTGAGAAACTATGGACCGGGTCCAAAGTGGTTTTCAGCAACGGTCATTAAACCCACAGGTCCAGTTTCCTACCAAGCTGTGACTACAGGAGGCGAGGTAGTTAAACGTCATGTGGATCAAATGCGGAAGCGTATTCCTGATCCGTTGACTGTTCCGTCCGACCCTAGCGTATCATCTCCACCAGCACCGAGTGTTGAGACTGAAGTACCATCTCCCATTCCTTCCAGTGCTGATTCTCAGAGTGCAGTAGTTGAACCTACAATACCAAATCAAGAGTCTTCTGTTCCAGTTCCAGAACAGACTTCCAGAAACTTGAGGCCCAGACATACCATAGTCAGGCCAAGCAGGTTCAAAGACTTTGTTCTATCCTAGGGCAAAGGGGTGTTGTGATGTCAACCGACGTCACCTTCCGTCATCACTACGAGTCAACGACGACAGCCTGTAGTTTCTGAATAGCGGCGCTGCCTTACCTTTCCAGAGAGTATATATACCCATTTCTAATAGATGTTCATCGCTAACCTTGTTACGTGCTGTAAGCATGTTATTGTTATGTTATGCTTTATTGTTTTATTAAACTTATACCTTTGTTATTATGTGTCTTAATTGGATACCACCAAGAATATCGCACAATACAATAATATACTATGTACTTATATTTATTTCATTAAATGCCCAGACCAATCATATAAGAAATTATCATGATTGATAAGGGTTCAATTTAAAAAAAAATGATATGTTTATAGCTTCGCTAAAGTTAGGTAACTAGGAAAAAAGTTCAGGTTAAGAGTTAAAACTACTATATATACTTACATAAAAAAAAATATCTTAAATAAATAAAAAAAATACTTTTGACTTTTTTTAGTTCAGGTAATATATATATATATATTTTTTTTTGAAGAAAATAAAAGTTTGAATTAAAATTGCAACCATCTACAACCAAAAGGAAAATGTTAAAAAATAAATAAAAGCTAAAAAAGAGTTGTTAAAAACCTCTAGATTGTAAATTAGCTGTCCGGCATTCCCTACACTTTTGTATAATTTAAGGTAAGCTCTATTGCTGAGTAGACAAAGCAAAGTCCATTGTTGTATTTTCAAATTTTTTGTTCCAAAACACGTAAAAGATTTAAAGCGTAAAATGAAATTAATAAAAACTACAAGTGTAAAATATTTCCCCCCCCCTCTATGCCCACTTGGCCACTCTTTCAGGGGCACCATACTAGGTGAGCCATCGTTGTTCCACAGTAAGGGCAGATAGTGCAGAGAATGTAAAAACATCCATGCCTTGCTTGGGATTCGAACTCAGAACCTTTCTAAAGCAAGGCCAGTTCCCTGACCCCTACACAGGCCGTTCGGTCAATTGTAAAATATTACAAACTTGAAAGTGAAGAAATGAAAAAAAACCTAATTGTGACTACAATTAATTTACATTGCTTTAATAATAAAATATAAACGTAAACATTAATATTAAAATATAAACACTCTGTTCCAATTTTAAAATTGAACCAGCTTAAGCTCGTGAATTAAAGAGATTTTTGGTGGCTCTGAGAAATCACACATTTTGCTACGGTAAAAAAAATGTTATGAAATGACTTTTCATTTTCGAGCTGCTGCCATGGGTAAAAATTCTTTCTAAGCGCTGCCCACCGCATATGCACTAAAAACAAAGTTAACCAATGATCTTTGAAAACGCAAAAGCAATATCCAGCGTTGGTTCAGTCAGTATCAATTTAAATTATAATAATGGGAATAGTATCTCGCCATCGCGGTTGAGTAATCCTTGATCTGATATTTTTTGTTTTTGTTTTATGTTTGTTATCGAAATAAGATGCTAAAATGGCCGTTTTGTTGTGTTATAAATGTATTAGAAAAATAATATTTATTTTGATTTTATTGTCGTTCGTTTCTACAAAAGGCAAGTTTTTAAGTTTTACTGTTTAGTGGCGATATTTTTTGCTATATCTTATTTTTTTGTCTTTACTTTGAATGTTGTATACGCTATTACCCTGATCTCTCTTTTGATGTGGAATTGAAACAAATAACCTATAAAATAATTGCACTCAATGATATGATTGTTCGTTTAAATTTTCAATATTATAATGAAACCATTAAAAAAATATTTAACTTGTCAGAAAAAGAACTGTACTAGTATTTCGACGTGATGTACCCCACCAAAAGTTTATCTATCTATCTTAATTTTGGATACTTAAAATCTATCTTTTGTTTGTCACACTTTTTTGTTTGTAAAGTAAACTATTAATCTTGTGAAGTTAATTTTCAAGAATTTTTTTTTATGATCTACATGATGTTAATTGTTTTCAACTTGCAAGTATGATGCATTGGTACCTTTATGCTATAAGTTGAAAAGTTATAACTTTTTTCTTAAAAAACACTTTTAAAAACTTTTTGCTTAATGCTTTTAAGATTATTCTGTTTCTTTCAATTAAGAAAGTGTGATATTGGTTTGGTTTACATTTATTAGACCGCAAATAGTTATATTTTTATTTTAAAAAGATATGTTTACTTTTACTAAAATTTTTTTTCAATTGTGATTACTACACATATGCAATTAAAATAATAAATGCAAAATAACTATTTAATATTTTAAAGTAGTATTAAGAATTAACTTGTTACTAAAATTAATATTACGAACAATTATTTACGAACAATTGCTAAAATTAACCATCACTTACATCAAATTTATTAGTCTTTGAAAATTTTGCTTTTCTTTCAACCTCAAAATTCTATTTGCGAGCAGTTAAAATATCTGAAAGATAAGTTTTTTAAAAAAATCAAGAAATAAAAACGGAATAATTCTTCTCTTGCTAGTGGCTGGAAGAAGTTAAAATTACCCCTGTTGTAGTCTTTAATAAAAAATTTTATTGTTATCAAGCCGTGGTATTAATCTTACCATATTCTCATCTCTCAATTTCATTCGTTTTATTTACTGTTTTTATATTTATTTATATATTTTCAATTATTTAGTGTCCAGTTTGGTTTGTTATTGTGCTGGTAACTGTCCAAATGATGAATGGAATGGTAGTTGTATAGCACGTCCTTTAAGTGTATGTTTTAGTTCAGTAGAAGAAGTACACAATACAGAGACAGGCCAATACGAATTTGAACGAACATATGGCTGTCTTCCACCAGATGAAAGTGGTCTTATGCAAGTAAGTACTTAAAAGTTGAAGTATATTTGACTATTTATTGCATAAATATCCATTATTTGTTAGAAAGTAAGGCACTAATATCCTGCTCGAATACTCTAGGCTCAAATATCACAGCATCTTGTTGGTTTTATGCTTGTCCCAGCTCCAGGGGTGATTGTGCTCTGGAAAAAATCCGGATTTCCGGATTTTTCGCTAACTGCGATCAGAAAGTTTCCGGAAATCCAAAGACCAGAAGTTTCAAGAAATCATCGATCACACATATATATAAAAATTCTTGTATATTTTATTTAAAAATATTAGAACTAGAATTTATTCTTGGCATCTTTTTCATTTGTAAATATTTTTTCTGGTATAATAATAAATGTGATTAGAGATAAAAGTTAACTTACACGTATTTATTCATTTAATTTATCCTGCATATGCTGTATCATGTTTTGAAAATTTCAATGATTTAAATTTATAAAAATATTAATTTTTTGAATAATTTTAATGAAGAAATTTTCAGGATTTTTGAGTTGGGCTCACAATCACCCCTGCAGCTCATTTTGATGATAGCGCTTGTGCAATATATTCTTTGAGTTCTATTCCCTTTGTAGTTGAGTTAACTCTGATAGTTTCTCCAGTTGTTCCAGTGGAATGTATTTCCCGGTGTTCACTCCTGAAAAGTTCTTCCTGGTTGAGCTTCAATGTTAAATATAAAATATATTTTGTTTTGAAATTTTAAATTGGCTTCAAATTTAAATAAGTAGTATTAGATTCAAAAACTGTACAATCAACCTAGAAGTATGGGGTCAAAAACATGTCTTTATGTGGGATGCTTTATAAGCTGGGAAAGGAAAATCTTCTATGGTTAAACCGACTTAATCTCTTTACTTACCTTTTGAATAAAATGATGGGAATGCACCATTTATTGTTGGGAGTAATACCTGCTAATCCCGGTGGCTGAGTGGTAGCGCTTCGCGCTCCCGTGCCACTGGTCCTGAGTTCGATCCTCGAGCCGGGCAAGGTTGACTCAGTCTTTCATCCCTTCAGTGGGTCGATAAATGAGTACCAAGCATGCCAGGAGACTTAAACACTGGGGGTTTCGCATTCAGCTGACCACCTAACAGACATATCTGCTCTTGCACCCCAGAACCCAAGGTCAAGAAAACTGAGATGGGCACAGTAGGCAAGGCCGTAGCCAGGATATTTTTTCGGGGGGGGGATATGGTAAGAAGCAAGGACAGTTTCAGGCATGCAAAGTAGGGGGAAAAGGTTGTAACAAATATTGTTTATTCTGTTGTTTGCAAAACTTAAACTAGTAATTAAAAAATATTACATAATACTTACTTTTCAATTAATATTACATAATAATTATAATCAATTTGTAAACAAAGTTTACAAAGACATGCGATGGGGCTTTGAAGAAAATTTTTCGATTACTTTTTTAGGACAAACCAAAATATCCCAAAATATGCTTAATAAAGTTAGTTAATAAAAGGTTTGATTTGACAGTTTTTGTTTTTCTTTTTAGTGAGAGGCTCAAAGAAAGACTAAAAAGTTTGAATCCCGGAATTTCGGGGGGGGGGGATTTGTCCCGACGGTCCCCCCCTGGCTACGGGCCTGACAGTAGGCCTTGGCCCTCTATGGGCTGTTGGGCCACTGAGTTTAGTTTAATACCTGCTGATCTGATTGTAAACTTTTAGAAATAATTCACAAATTTTAACCATTAAATAAGTTTGTTATGCTATAAAACAAAAAAAAAAGTATGCTATATCTTTTTTTCATAAATTGTATGAACATTGTGAAAATTTGTAATTAATATATTCTAATTATAATATCTAAAAATCATTTCTATTTAAATGTCAGAAACTGAAATTAAAGGTAAGTTGAATTTTTGAAAAGTTAAAGCTTTCGCCTGTCCTGTTAAAATATCTTATCGAGATATGTATATTCATGATTGTTTCTCCCTAACTCCTGTTCATATTTGCATCTTTTAGTGTAAAGGTAGCTTGGTGCCCCATAAAAATCCAAAGGGTATTGCCTGTTGCGCTGATAGAGATTATTGTAATCTAGAACTGAAACCATTTCCAAATGCTTTAACAACTGCTGCCAGTCCAAGTAAGTATTATTTGCTGTTCCTATTTTTCATTTTCGTGAAAAAACTTTTTACTTTTTTTTATCATTGGTAAATTTATTATACTAAGAACAAGCAATTCCTATTTTATTTTATCATTTGTTTAATGTTTGCAAACTGATAACATAATTAGTATTCGATGAAAGCTTGGTTATCTTTGACTTTAGAAATGCAAAGCACAAATAAAAAGTTAAAAAGACTGTTGATGTTTTCATTATTTTCGTGCTATTCCCATCAAGTTATTTCAAAAAGTGGGAATAAAATTGTATGAATAAGGTTGTAGTACGAAAACTATTGCCTACCTTTTTAACTTTTTTATTTGTGTTATTGTATGTATTCTATGTCATTACATGTGATGTATACAGAATTTTTTTTTATTATGAATTTAAATTACCATTTTTATGTTGTATTTGAATAATTTTTTGATGCTACAAAAAGCAAACTGTTAACTTGGAGACAGAAGAGTTTTTTAATATACAATGTTTTCATATAAACTTTCTGTATAAGTTTAAAGTTTTACTTTTCTTAATCTAATTATTTTAAAATAATACATTTTGAAATATAAAGTATAAGTTCTTTAAAAAACACTATTTTCATGTTAGCTAATTTCTACTCCAACTTGGTAATTTCAATATTAAAATTTCACAAACTGAAAATCTTCTCGCGACTGCATGAAGTCCACCTCCAGTGGATCCCTTCTCACTTTGGGGTTCTGGACAATGATATCGCCGGCACTCTGGCTAAGGAGGGGACAGAAGAAACTTTGTGATGAGTCCAAATTCACTCACCTTCATGGAACTGGCATTGAAAAAGAAAAAAGACAATGTTTCCTGGCTTGTAACCCCCAAACATCACTGGTACCAGAGCACCCGCCCAGTAGGTGCACTCAACATTCGGTGCAACCGCAAGGATCAGACGGCACTTACTAGGCTTACCAAAGGCCACCTTAAGTCTCTGTCTTTCGAGGGTAGTGTTAAAATCTTTCCAAACTGCCCCTGGTGCCACAACATGCAGGCTTCTCCCCAACATATCTTGGACTGTCTTGGACTGGACAAGAAGGACATTCTAGGAAACCCACTTTTGGTGGCCGACTTCCTCCGGGTCATGAATTTCATGGACATTGTTTAGCCCTGCTAATTTTGGGGATTAGGAAGAAGATAACAAATGTCATTTCATAGCAGTGTTAATTATGAATTTAATTTCATTTTTAGAATTTATAAATTTAATAGCATCATAGCTATGATAATTTCATTATGAATTTTATTTCATTTTTAGAATTTATAATTTGAATAGCATCATAGCAAATTTGATTTCATTATGTATATTAGTTGTGCTTCTCCAGATTAATATTTCTGTAAGATTTACTCAAAATTTTAAGTTTAAAATACAAGAGTGCTGAAAATTCTCAGAGCTTATTATATTCCCAGAACTTAGTTATTTGGGTTTGAAATTTCTCCCCTAAATATAGTGCTTTTTAATTAATATAACTTTTTCTAAATATTTTTAGATAGTAAAGTTTATATTAAAATTTAGTTAATCTATTGAATAATATTATAATTTTGATAATTATATATAATTAACATACTATAATTATAAATTATAAAATGAATCATAAATAATATAAATTGTCTGTGAGGCAAAAACACATTTGTGGCACCCCTAACTATTCTATGGTTGCAATGTATTCATATAAATTGTTAATGATAGTTTTTTCTTAGGGGAAATTTTTCTAAATGCGAGCAATATAGAAAATTTTAAACTTTTTTCATTTATTTTTTAGAAGTAGAAATCAAAAAAGATTGATGTTTGTAAAAGTGTAAAAATAGAAATTTAGCTTTTGTTAATAAAAAAGAAAAAAGGAAGGGAGGAATCTTGGTTTAGAGTTTTTATAAATTCCAGAAATTTTTTTTGATTAAATGTTATGAAATTACTTAAATTCAAATCACATTTTAAAATTGTAGTTTATAATTAAACTTTGTAGTTGTTTATTATTTTCTAAAAGTTGTTATTTATTTATTTTGCAGTGTATAGAGGAGAGCTGTCGTTCTACTCCACTAAAGAAAACATTATTATATTTGCTATTGTTTTATCAGTTTGCATTGTTCTTTTAGCTGGTGTTATTGGATTCATGGTAGCAAGGTCAGTACTATATTAAATAAATATGGAATTAAATTTAGTAAAATTCTTCAATAAATGATAGAACTCTTCAAAATATTAACATTTATGGCCTTTTTTCTCTTATTTTTTACTTTTTTTATTTTAGAGAAATTTGTTGATTAATTAAAAACAAAATTTTCCGTTATTGTGGTAACAAAACAAAATTCAAATATAATTAAAATATAAATTTAGAATTACTTTGAAGACACATGTTTTAAAAGATCCATTAAACTAATAAAAAAAATCTAACGTTTTCACATCATTATGGCAACATTGCGACAATTGTTGTTAAGTCAAGTCATTAACAAATGCTGCCAAAATCAAACACATAGGCAACAAATTTTTTGCTTCAAATATTAGCGTATGTTGCCATTTATATTGTTGTTTTGAAAAAAATTTATGTCCTTAAAAATCCATTTTAAACTTGTACCAATATAGCCAAAAATTGTATAGTCAAAACCACATGAATATACAATAAAATTGTTGCCCATCAAGTGTTTTCAAAAGTGGTTACTCAAAGGCATCATTTGAAATTGTGTGTCATTGTTATTTTTTTAAAAAAAAAATTTACTATTTTAATGTTGAAAATTAAGTTAAATTAAATGCTGTTTGGGTTTTAAAAAACCCCCAAGAAATGGGGTTAGGATGGAATTTTCATAAATACAGGGCCTAAAATCATATGATTACCAATTCCAGAAATATCTGCTGTTAATATATTGAAAAAAAAAATAATAAATTGATATTTTAAAATCCTATCGTGTTAAGATTATTATGAAATTAAAATAATGTGCTGTACATTGTATAAATATGCGCAGTGATTGATATGTTCTCTAATATAAACACATCTCTTATGTAATTGTATAGCTTAAACTTTACATTTGTTTATCATGTTGAACACAAAATGAAAACTTGATAGTGTTTTTGGATCACTGAATTATCATTGCACTTACGAATTCTGAGTGGTTATGCTAGACTTTATAAACTATGGGTCCTTAGGACTCAGGACCTGCATAATTCTGTGTCCCTTTTTACATAAAGCAGGTCCATATTTAAAATATGGATTTTCTACATCTTAATCCATCTCTTATTATTCACATACATAATTTTTCTATCTATTGTTCTGGGTTTACTAAGGTGATGAAATTATTAATGGAACCTGAATGCGTATTGTAGATATTAGTTGTTCATGATATGGTTATTCATACATAATTTATTATTTAAGTTTTTTGAGTGTATCTGTATGTTCAGTAAAATCTTAAATTATATACTTAGAATTCTTAAAATACAAATGTTTAAAATTTATTATCTCTTTTCATTTGTTTCAAAAGCAAAAAGTATAATAAAGATAAAAGTTGATAATTGTTTGTTCATTCACTTATAAAGAATTCAAACATTAAAAAATACAGTAGGGAACCGATTATCCGGAACGATCGGGACCATCGATATTCCGGATAACTGATTTTTCCGGTTTTCTGAATCGCTGCAAAAAGCCGTTTTTTTTTATAGTTAAACCCAGCTAAAAAAAAAAATGATAAAACGATGAAGTAATACACTAATGATTATTTCCAAAATGATGGTAAGGTAAACATCTTTCAAAAAAGAGCGAAAAATCCTAAAATCTTATGAGGAAAAAAAAATTTTTTTTTTTTAAAAAGTGGCGGGAAAACTAATCGAATTTCGTTCCGGTTTTTTGGNTCCAAAATGATGGTAAGGTAAACATCTTTCAAAAAAGAGCGAAAAATCCTAAAATCTTATGAGGAAAAAAATTTTTTTTTTTTTAAAAAAGTGGCGGGAAAACTAATCGAATTTCGTTCCGGTTTTTTGGTTTTCCGGTTTTCTGATTTCCGGATAACGGGTTCTCTACTGTACAAATAAACATATGCTGCAAAAAGGTATGTGCTTTTTATTTCATGAATGAATATATATAATTTTAATCACATGACATATTATGCTTTACTTTTTACACAGAATCATTTCTATAATTTTATCATTATACATTAAGAATGTAGAAGAATGAGGGAAATTATTAACTTTCTCTCCTCATCTGCTAAGAGAAATATTGTCTACATTGAGTTTGTATAGAAGTGTTTCTATAATTTTGTTGTATCCCTGTATTCAGCAGTGTGAAAAAGAATTGTGGAAATGTTCATAAGTTTAAAAAACGTTGGTTTTGGGAAAAGAGTTGTAACATTATTATGAATTATGGTTCATAATTTTAAGTGAATTATATTTACAATTTCAATGGCTAATTTCATAACAATATCATGTTTGTATTAAAAAAAAATGTTTTTTGTCATTTGTAGGTTTTGCAGTCAAAAAGAAAACCGAAGAAATTATATGGATGTTGAAAAAACCTATTTGGGTGGAGAAGCAGTGAAAGATTTACTTGATAATGCTAATGATAATTCTGGAAGTGGATCAGGAGTTGCACTTTTGGTAACATTTTACTGCATTTTCTGATTTGAAATTCTGTATAGGGAAAACGTATCATGTTACCTAGAAAATTGGAGTGTAGCCCAAAATACCAATATTATGCTATAAAATAATTTATTATTTAATGAATTATTAAAACCATGTCATTGATTCATAGTGCAAATTCATATTCTTGAAGTTCCTAAGTAACTGGGAAACTCCTTACTACGAAAGATATATAAGATCCTCTCAACTTTTAAACTTATGCTAAATTCTTGAAATAAATCAAAACTACAAACATTTTAAATAAAAAAATAATCATTTCATTTCATAAAATTTTTAAATACCATATGAAAGTTTGAGATGTTACGTAAAGTGTTACTTACAACTGTTTAATAAAAAAAAATGGATTGATTTTTGTACCTATTGCACAGCTTTGATAAATAGCATAAATTATGCTGAGTTAATGCCATTCTAAAGTAGCTTGAATTTCATATTTTTAGCTGTTTCAACTAATTATAAAATTAATTAAGAAATTCTCTTATATTGCAAGCATCATTTGAACCAATATTGCAAGTATCATTGAAGGCTTTGGCTATGGTAAACTTAATGTTGCCTTACCATCAAACTTTACACAAAATGTCCATTTGCATTGCGAAATCTTCAAAGTGGTGGTTTTCGAATAATAGAGTACATGTTATAAATAACCTGCTCTTTCTCGTGACTTTAGACCCCAAGAGAGCATGAATGACTATCCTTAGTAGGGATGTATACATCAAAATGAAGTAATTTCAGTTTGTGGCAAAATTGAAGGCTGCCATCATTGAAGCCTTGTAACTCCTTGTAAATATGTGTTTAGATATAGACTTTCTTAATATATATGTTAGGTTCCCATTGGTTTTCTTAGCATCCAGTTCTGGCAAAAAAACATTGTGGCTTTATTTAGATGGGACACAGTTTATATTATCTACTAAGAATGTCAAACCAGATTATCAGATTATATCTTACATTCAAAAAGTAATGAAGTATTTTTCTTTTTTTAAATATGTTTTGGCTCTTTATAAAGATATTTTAGTGAATAAAATTGTATAGAGCCCTTAAAAGAAATTAGAATGCTGCACTTGCCTGATAAATTATTTTGAGTGTTAGATTTCAAAATGTGGAGTGATGATTCCATATTGTTCATCAATGAGGATAGAAAGGAAAATTTTTATTTTTTCTCTTGATTCTTATTTTATTTGGCAATTTATTTAATTACTTAAAAAAACAAACTACATGGTCTTGCTAGCAAATTATTATTATTATTTGAAATCTGGAGCAAAAAAAATAATCTGCAGATGGTGTGATAATTTGCTGCACCTGCTGCCATGCTCAATGGTTTCTGCTACCAGACGTCTAATTACTTTGGTGGCCAGTTTGCTTAGACATTTCTGAAAGCGTCATTGTCACTGAATTTATCGCAATATTTTATCAATTTCGCATAATTTTTTTTTTTTAAATGGTCATTTGGTTTTAAGTTTGGATCAACTGAACTAGTCTTAAACATGCAAGCTTGTATGATGAATTCAGTAAGGCTTGATAAATTCTTGAGAATGATATCTACTTGATTATTTCTGATTTTTATCTGTTCTTTGATTGGCAGTATCAATATTTTCAGCAATATGTTCACAGTTTTGAAGGGTTTTATTCTTAACCTCTCAAACTTTACCATTTTACTTCAATTGAATTCTTCAAACGAGTAGTGGTTAGTAAACTCTGCAGTGTGATTATGTTGACCCCACATTATACGTAATGTCCAAACTATAGCCCAATCACTGACACCTAATCATTATTTCGGTAGTAAATTTGAGCAATTTCTATATACTGTGCAACTGTATCTTACAATGGTGTTTTGCCTAAAAATATATATGATAAATTTAAGTTTTGATGGAAATCAGGGGAAAAACTGGATTGGCGTGTCATAAATGTATATACAGTAGAGAACCGACTATCCGAAACGATCAGGACCATCGCGATTCCGGATAACTGATTTTTCCGGTTTTCTGAATCACTACAAAATGCCGTTTTTTAATGTTTTTAAAACGAAACTAAAGCATTATTTTGAAATAGTTTTAGAAATAATAAAAAATGGTAAATAATAATACACTTAAGTTTAAATAAGGAAAGAAATTATGAAATAGAAATTATATGCAGGCTTATATATGTAATTATTGTTATTATTAACATTAATAACATATATAAGCTATTTGTGCCTATGTGAGATTCGTCTACAAACGACTTTTGATCCGTCCTCTAAATCAGTTCTTTCGTCAACTCGATACGCCGTACGCTCTAAATAACAAAATGGGCTCAAAACCCTGCTGGAAATTTTTATTTTTTTAATGGAAGGAAATTAATTTTTAGTTCCGAATTTCATTCCGGTTATCTGGTTTTCCGGTTTTCTGATTTCTGGATAAGAGGTTCTGCACTATAGTACTAATTTGATTTATTTGTATGTTTTTGTAATTTCTGGTACTTCATAATTCTTCGTTTTTTATTTTAATTAAAACTGTATACTCCTTCTTCAGGTTCAGCGAACTGTTGGGAAACAGATTGAGATGGTGGAAAGTATAGGAAAGGGGCGTTTTGGAGAGGTATGGAAAGCCCAGTTACGAGATTATTATGTTGCTGTTAAAATCTTCTTTACAAAAGAAGAAGCCAGCTGGCAACGAGAAACTGATATATACAAGACAGTTCTCTTAAGGCATGAAAATATATTAGGTATGGTGATATATAAATGTTTTCCTTAAATTTTTATTCTTTATTTTAAGGTAATGAACATATCTTTATTTTTTAACTTTTTTAAAAACTTCTTCAAATGAGAAAAACTATCATTTCAATAGACTGTTGGAAGTTCTGTATTGGGTATTTTAAGGGAAGGGAGTCATTTGTATTTATGAAATTAAGATTAATTATTTTTAAATATATACATATATATCTATATATTTTGCAATTTTTGCACATTAAGGGTACACAACTGTGTCCCATGTGCTACTCTTGCATGTTAAATATGATTTTCCACATTCCCACCAAAAATTCGAATGAAAAAAACTTACTATATTTAATAATTGTTTCTCACACTAATTTCAATGCACTTAAAACATCATAACATTAAAATTAATAACTGCAGAAGTGATAATTTAAGGTGTCAAAAAATTTAATCTTTAAACTTATTGAATATTTTTTAAAAGAAAATTCTCTGTCACAAAACATAATAAAAAATAAGTTTACCAGTACATTTAACGGCATTGGTACCTTGAAGAACATTATTTTACTTTGGTTACTTTTCCCCCTTTTATTAACATTTGGTTTCTGAAGTCTCCTCCCCCCCTTTTTTTTTCACATAAAAAAGAAATTAATGGTATGAAGTGATCCGCATCTGTTTTGGTGCTCTTATTTTCCACCTATCTATCTGTATGTATAATAAAACTGCATTGAATTTTCATTTTCTTTTTTATTTGTTTTCGGAATTTAAAAAAAGAATTATAATAAGATTTCTAAAAGTGTAATTTTAAAAATTTTAGTAATTTTTTATTCACCAAGTCTCTATTAATGAGATTTTGCTGATAGAAATTTATTTACTTAGCAATATGTTTACAATAAATTTTAATCCAATTGTTTTTATTTACTAAATGTTTAAGGCTTAAATATTCATTTTTTAATAGTCAAATTAATTAGAAAGATGTTAATTTTATTCTATAGTTCATTATCAATTTGTCTATTTTTTAGGTATTACTTAAATGAGATTTTTATACACTTTAGCTATAGACAGAAAAGTATTGACTATTGGCTAAAGGGTTTTTGAATAGGAATAAAGAAACTATTATTTTTACGATTTTGTCTATAACCTTGCCAAACTACTGTTTAACTACTGTTTATTATAAGGCTGATTTCATAAATTTTTAAAAGGTTTCTTGTTCATTCATGTTTAAAATTTTTGAAATTGTTTTATTTTTAAATTTCTTTCTAACTTATGTTTTTATTTGGTCATAGGCTTTGTTGCAGCTGACATAAGAGGTAATGGTTCATGGACACAGTTACTGCTGATTACAGATTACCATGAATTGGGATCATTGCATGATTTTTTAAAAGTTTGGGAGTTAGACTACACAGACATGTTGAAGCTTGCCCATTCATCTGCATGCGGTGTTGCTCATTTGCATAATGAAGTTACAGGAAAACAAGGTTATTTACAACTTTTTATTTTCATATTAACACAGCTTTTTAAAAGATTAATTTTCATTAATTTTTAAAAGATTAATGAATGTTAATGTTTTACAATCTGTTTTTTTTCTCATGTCATACTCATGTTTTTTTTTTAAATTAGAATTTTAGGCGATACTATTTCTTATATTTGTTTTATGATTGATAAGAATTATAAATTGAAAGTCTCCTGTTCGATACCAATTGATTGATTTCTACGCTGGTTCGTTTGTTAACAAATGATTAAAATAGAATGGACTGTATTAAAGATTTTTATTATGATTGGTGCTACGAGCACGCTCATGCTATAAGATCAACAACTAGTTTTCAACTGATTAGGGTTACAACAAACGGTGGCGAGGATGCTGAGACAAAGATGCCAAGTTGGCGCTATATTTCTGAGATATTGAACATCCACCCGCCGTTGAATTATATTCAATAAACATACAAATTAGCATAACAATGGTACATAAACATATTCCAATATAAAATTTACGAAGATTGAATAAATGCTGTAGGTACACATTATGAGAAAATTAAAACACATCTTTTTTAATTGTCCAATGGCAAAATACACAATTAATTAATGCTACGTTTAACAATTCCCTTGCTCGTTTTAATCTCCGCTACTCTAACCTTTCCATCCGTTCCAGGAAATAGTTTTAAAATTCGTCCCAAGACCCTCTGATTTACAGGAAGATTATCCTCCTTTATTAAAACCATCGCATTTAAAATTATGTTTGTTTTCTCTACCTTCCATTTTGTTCTTTGTTGCAAATTGTTCAAATAGTCGCGAGACCACTTAGTCCAAATGTATTGAACAATTTTTGTCAACCTTTGCCATCGAGAAAGTCGGGTTTCCGATTTATCCAACAAACTTGGTTCAGCTATGGCAGTTATAGATCTTCCAACCAAAAAATGCCCTGGTGTCAGAGCATCCAGGTCATCAATATCATCTGACAAAGGTGTTAATGGCCGAGAATTTAGGATTCCTTCGACTTGTGCTGTTATTGTATGGAATTCCTCAAATGTTAATTTTTGATTTCCTGCAGCTCGTTTTAAGTAAAACTTAAAGGATTTGACCCCTGCCTTCCAGAGGCCCCCGAAATTTGGAGCTCTGGGAGGAATAAAATTCCAAACTATCCCTTCAGATGCCAAATAGGATGCTAGTTTATCGTCAGGAAATCTAGTTAAATTCTGCAATCGCTGCAATTCCCTTCTAGCCCCAACAAAGTTTTTTGCATTATCAGATGATATCGTAGCACATTTGCCACGCCTAGCTACAAAACGCTTTAAAGTAGCAAGAAAAGCATCGGTTGTTAAATCGGAAACAACTTCTAAGTGAATCGCCTTCGAGGCTAAACACACAAATATTGCAACATAAATCCGTTGGAAATTCCCTTTTCTCTGGTGTTTATATTTAATTTGGAAAGGGCCGCAATAATCAACACCAGAATGCAAAAAAGGATAATTAGGGTTTACTCTTTCTCGAGGCAAGGTTCCCATAAGTTGATTTGAAACAAGGGGTTTATGTTTAAAACAAACTATGCATTTATGTACAATTTTCCTAGCTATCGATCGACCACGAAGTGGCCAAAACCTTTCTCTAGTGCAATATAACAACGCTTGAGGTCCTAAATGGAGATTTTTGATATGCAAATGAGTCATTAACAATTTAGTGAAAGGATGGTCTGCAGGAAGTATAGCTGGATGCTTTTGAGAATAATCCAGAGCAGCATTATGCAAACGACCACCGACTCGGACAATTTGATGACCATCAAGGAAAGGATTTAAAGAGTTAAGTTTACTCTTACCTGANATTTAAAATTGGGCCATTCGTCAAATTTACCATGAAATACCGGTAGTGGTATCTCGGGTAGTTTAATTTCTAGTTTTGTTTTCGAATCAGCCTGAGATATTTCATTTTCACAATTAATTATTGAAGGTTTAATTATCAAAGAGTTAAGAATATCTTTAATTCTTACCTCCAGAGCTTCGAGTCTGTCTACTGTTCCCTCCAAGTCCGTTTCTACTTCAGTTACCTCAGGGTCAGTTATGTCTTTTAGCCCATAATAATGCTCCTTTAATTCAGCAACTTTTTTATACAATTGTTCCACACGCTTCAGCTTGACCTCTAATTCAGTATGGTTATGTTCCTTCGTCTGGTCAATGTATGTTTCTAGCTTTGTTATGGTACCTTTGACGGCACGCTTCGATCTATTTAGTTTTTCTTTTTCCATCTCCGGTTTTTAAGGATCACTAATGTTCGATACTAATTGATTGATTTCTACGCTGGTTCGTTTGTTAACAAATGATTAAAATAGAATGGACTGTATTAAAGATTTTTATTATGATTGGTGCTACGAGCACGCTCATGCTATAAGATCAACAACTAGTTTTCAACTGATTAGGGTTACAACAAACGGTGGCGAGGATGCTGAGACAAAGATGCCAAGTTGGCGCTATATTTCTGAGATATTGAACATCTCCAATTTTAAAATACTTTAATTGGGAATGATTTGTTGAGTGAAAATAAATGTATTAATTGACTTCAAATTTTGAAAGCATACCAACTCAATTTTAAACATATCTATAAATTTATAGTCTGCAATTACAAAAAATACAGGATTATATATCAAGAATAAAGAAAAAGTGTTCACTGTATGATTTAACAATATTTTTAAAATTTTCTTCCGCAGCTTAGAATATGATTTTAACTGTAAATCTAATAAGATGAATTTGTAAATAAATTTACTTCCTTCTAGGTTCCTAAACTGTTATTTGTCTTAGCTGATAAATATACACTCTATTCTAACCATATATTTAGATTTTAAGATTTTAATTTATTAAGTGATATCAAATATACTAATTTAGTGTAAAGTAACACATTGTGGTATTTCTTAATATAATTTGCTTTTTGACTCAGTTAGGTGTATTTTGAATATAATTCAAAATGTATTTTGAATATATATTCATTGCTGCCCTTTTGGGTTTCTTCCAAAAGAATGCCCAAATTTGAGCTTAAATGACTTCAATTTAATGACTTCTTGATTACATTCAACTTTACAAATTTTCATGCCTTATTTAATTTCTAATGTAATAATCCTATATAGAAATTATAACTCTTCTACTGTCTAGTAATAATTGTTTGAATTGTTTCCTTTTGCAGCTATTATATTTTAAACTGCAAGTTTATTTGTGTAAATTATCACATTTATAATAATATACTTAGAACTATAGTGTAGACTATTCATTGTTGTTGTTTCTAATGCCACTTGCCACACGGGCAAGCCTGCTTGGTCAAACCGTGTAAATTTAAGGCAGAGTGTGCATTTCTTGTTTTTACAGTGGCGCAATCCTATGGCCAAGAATTTGTCTTCAGCCATACACACGTCACAGCCCGTTTTATAGGGCGGACCCATTCTTTCATCCATAGATCATAATTTTGATCCGAATCAGAGAACGATCGATCTCCAATCCAGTACCCCCAGAGGTATTGATTTGTTATGTGAACATGGAGGACTTTGTGACTCGACAGATTTAGCATGCATCAGTCACCATTTACTACACGGGGAGTCTTCGGCCGGCGGGGTTCGAACTCTCAGGCATGGGCTCAGCGCCCTACCGACCAGGCTATCCCAGTCTTAGACTATTCATAGTTTTATGTTTTAAAAAGGATAGTAAACTATATATACCCTGATTTTGGGTATTAAACTAGAGTTGGTGTTATTTACTAAAAAGGCAGGGGTAAATACCTGGGCAAGTATCCATATATAAATACTCTACCACTGGATATTCACTTTACCCACATCTATTGGCAGAACCTGACTGTTGTACTGGACAGAAAACTTTTTTTCTTCTGTGTAGTAAAAAACTCTTTGTAAAATTTTAGATTTAGTTATTAAATTCAATTTTACATTAGCCTTTCATAAATTAGTAAAATAATCTTAATAAGAATGTATTATCATGAAAGTTGGAGAAAATATTTAATTTAATTCACCTTTCATAAAATTAGTTTATCTAAAAAAAAAAAAAAAAAAAAAAAAAAAAAAAAAAAAAAAAAAAAAAAAAANAAAAAAGAACCTCTTATTATGTCTTTTGCTTTTGTATTAAATTTTATTTTTTGTACAATTGTAAACAACTGTCAACAAGTAAATGTATTTTCAGGTAAACCGGCCATAGCGCATAGAGACATTAAAAGTAGAAATATACTAGTAAAAAAAGATAGAACTTGTGTCATTGCTGATTTTGGATTAGCTGTAAAATACAAAAGGTAAGCAAAATTCAAATGTCTCTTGATTTTTTCCCTTTTTAATGATTAAAGTAATTGCAATATATCCATTTTATATGGTAATGGTGATATGTTGTGAATTATTGATATTTTTTTAATTTGAGGGAATTCATTTAAAAATATTTTTATCATCATATCGTAAATACCATATCTACTGATTCTAGAATATCATACCTGCCAAGTCTTCTGTTTTTTAACGAAGACTCCCGTATTCAACAACTATCTCCTGTTTATCTGTGTATTCTCTAATTTCTCCATATTCGTTGAAGAAATTTAAAAAAAAAAAAATTGGTGATAAAATATCGGCTAATGGCAAAAATACTTCTCTTATTCCTCAGCAGATGGTGCTATTGTTAGTACTGTAGTATGTTGAGTGTTAATAGTCTAAGGTTCAAATCTACTGGTCTTATTCTATTGTTTAAAAGAAATCTCCTTTAGATTAATATTTATGTGCATATTTTTTACTTCGCTAAATGTAAGTGCTTATATTATTTCCAATTTTGAATTTCTCTTTTTGACTTACATGATTGTGCATGAGGTAACAAAACTTTACTTGTAGCCTAAAAAATGTCGCCAGTAAAATCTCCGTTATTTTATTTCTCCAGTGTTGGCAGGTATGGAATATGCTTTAATTACTTATAACAACACTGATTATGATAATGTGGTAATTGATAATCATTGAATCTAATCGTATCATAACTATTATCAGTATGATATGGATATACTTATCAAGACCGATATTATGTACTTCAATAATAGTTGTCTAACTCACTCAGTAAGCACCTTCGATTAAGATAAACACGTAGAAAATATTGCGAAGTTTTGAGCACCTCAAACCTATTGCGTGTTTTGTCTTCAGTTTTGTATTATAATTTCATTAGTTATCTTACTGACACCTTCTGTCTTAAATCAGGGTTATTACGTGCCTTAAAAGTGCTTTGTTTTACTTCACAAAAATTAAGCACTCTGAAAAGTCCTTATTTTAGGTTTGTGGTGCTGAAAAATCTTTAGCTTTCTTCAGCAAAAAAGAAAAAATGTTGCGCTTTTATATTTTATTTTCAAAAATCTAAATATTATGTTTTTTTTTTGTACTGTGATGTTATTACCATATGCATTCGAATTTGAGTACCTAATAACTTTTTGACACGTTCAATTCATGATGATTTCACATCAATTTGACGATAGATTTTTATAAAAATAATAACTTTTTGACACGCTCAATTCATGACAATTTCACATCAATTGGATGATAGTTTTTATAAAAATAACTTTTTGACATATTCAATTCATGACAATTTCACATCAATTGGACTATAGTTTTTTTATAAAAATAACTTTTTGACACTTCATGACGATTTCACGTCAATTGGACGATAGTTTTTTATAAAAATAACTTTTTGCCATGTTCAATTCATGACAATTTCACATCAATTAGACGATAGTTTTTTATAAAAATAACTTTTTGACACGTTCAATTCATGACAATTTCACATCAATCGGACGATAGTTTTTTATAAATTTTTTTATGTATTCCATGTGTATTACACTTTTAGTATCCAATTCATTTGACACAAAATTCGTTTTATGAATTCTTGAAATGAAATTAATTTCTTATTTCATGTGGATTTGAAGCACGCTGCTAATTTAATCTTCTAAAAATAGTGTTATCTCTCTCACAAAACCTGAAATTCAACCCCTTATCAACTCCTACCAAATGTACAAATACTTGTAAATGAAAAATTTTTTTATTTCTATGGTTCAGTCTGTTTGTTCACGATCTAATTCAATTTAATTTCATTCCTTTTTATCATTAAATTAAATACAAGGTCATTGTGCAGAGTAGTCAAGGTCAGGACATAAAATTTACTAATCCCCTAATCCTAGAATGTTTGCTAATTTTTTTCTTGTTTATTTTTTCAAAATTCAAACTTACAAAGCAATTTTTTGATCTTTAAAACATTTGGATGAAACCTGAAGCTTCAATTATACTTATGCATTTTAGTGATACAAATGACTTAGACGTTGGTGCAAATACCAGAGTTGGTACAAAGAGATATATGCCTCCAGAAGTGCTTGATGAGACATTAAATGCTTCACAATTTGAAGCCTACAGAATGGCTGATATGTACTCCTTTGCCTTGGTCTTGTGGGAAATTGCAAAACGTTGTGTAGTAAATGGTAATAATTTTCATTTAATTAAAATTGTTAATTGCATGGTGAAACTTCTTCCCATGTGTTGTACCTGCCATAATCAAAAGGTTAATTAACTTTTTTGGTAACTAATTTATTGGTATTATTTGGTACTAACTAATTTATCAAATGCTAGTATTTGAACAAGATTACAAGTGCAGTTGAACTCGTATATCGTAAGCCTTGATTTAACAAGATCCTTAATTAGGGTTGACTGGTTTGGTTTAGACCAATGTGGTTCAAATTACCATTTAAACCAGTTCTTTCTTTATTTTTTTTAAAAATAAAAACTAAACCTGTTTTGGAAATAAATATTTTATTAATTTATTTTTTTATAATTTTTTTTTTAAAAATTATTTATTTGTCAATTAACCCTTTGCTTATAGCACCTACATGGTGAAACCTGTTATTTTGGATCACGTGTTGTACCAGCCATAAGCAAAAAGTTAAAAAAGTTTTTTGGTAATAAATTTACTCACCAAATTTGTCAAATGCTACTATTTGAACAAGGTTACAATCGCAGTTAACTCGTTTATAGTCAGCTTTGATTTAACAAGATCCTTAATCAGGATAATCCTGTCTTAAACCAACATGGTTTGAACCACAGTTTAAGCTGGATATTTTTTTTTATAAAAACCATGCCCGGTTTTCAATAATTATTAATAATTTAAGTTTTTGTGGTTTATACAAATATTTTAAACCAGATGTTTTTTTTTCAAAATGGAAACCAAACCTGGTTTTTAATAATTTAATTTTTTATTATTTATGCAAATTTCTTTTGTTTAAATGGAGCAAAATAAAAAAAGTTTTAAAATATCTCATAAAATTTTTTTATTTTTGAGTTTACTTATTATGTAAATTTTTATTACTTTTTTCAAACATAAATATATAATTTTTAAATGTTTTCATAATTTAATAATATTTTGTTTTTTGAATGAAATTTGAAAGAAGTTGGTCAAATAGTTTCTAAGTAATAAAACTTCTAAGAAGTCATAAATTTAAAATTTTATTTCTCAAGAACTATTGAACCAATTTAGTCCAAATTTTTTAATTTTTTCATTTAAAATGACATTCTTAAAAATGATGTAAAAATTATTATACCTTACAATTTAAAATTTTGCAACTGTCTTAAAATAAAATAATAAAATATAATAAGCAATTGTTTAAAATTATTTTTTGTGAGGAATTATGTTTTAATAACAGATTTTAAAGTAATGTGCAAAAATATTTCGATTTGCTGAAAAGATTCTTAAAATATGGTTAAATATACAAAAAAGTCAAATTAACATAAAAGAGTTCAAACTTTTGACTGCTCCTTCTAAACCATTGGAATCATATTTTCCAGAGTACAGAACTCTTCTTTGTTTGAAGCTCAGATATCCAAATCTTTTTGAAAAAGACATGTTACTGCATTTTGTGTTTGATTTCATAACCTAAATGAATTATCTGCAAAAATCAATTAACATATTTAAGGTTAAGTCCTCAAACATAAGTAGGTAGGTAAAGGTTAAGTGGGAGATTGAGTCCTAATACAGGAAAATCCGATCATTAGATTAAAAACTATTGAGGTTGTTCACTTATTTATTTTATCACTGTACCAAAGTCAAGAAAAGCATTTACTAGGCATGTTGTTATAGAAACAATAGTAACATTCTATTTTATAGTAGATTAAAAAAGTTTAATAAAAAAATATTTGCAATTGAAATTTCGCTGTTCCTTTTAGAAAGTTCTACATTTAAACAGAAAGAAAATTTTTTTTTTTTTTTTTCTCTTTTTTCTTTTTAGTTTAATTGAATAACAAACCAAGTTCAGGATTTTTATCTTTTTCTTTGGTTGAACATTTCAGCATATTTTTAATATCCTTTTTTTTAAAAAAATTCTATTTTTAAAAACATTATAATTTTAAATAACTTCCATTAAAATAAAACTTTTTGTTATACACAAACAACATATGAAAATTAAATTTTTCCTGGTATTTATAAAACAATACAAATTTGCTACTATTTAAATTTAGTGTAGATATTTATTTAAAAATTTCTTAGTAATTAACATTTATTAAAAATCGTGAAATAGTATGAAAGAGCATATTCAAGTTTCATTTATACTTGCATGTCTGAAAACTTGAGTAATCATATTTAGTTTTTTTCGCAGAATTTAATTAAGGCTATATTATAATTATTTTTTAAAAATTATTTTTATAGACATTCATGAAGACTATCAACTTCCATTTTATGATTGCGTACCTACAAATCCTAGCTTTGAAGACATGAAAAAAGTTGTTTGTGTTGATAAAAGGAGGCCGACTATGCCAAAGCATTGGAAAGATTGTCAGGTAAATTACTTATTTATTTTACATTATTGATATATGAAACAAGGTTTTTGTAGTTTTCTTCTCCATGTAATGCTGATGTGTTGTATTAAAAATTACAAGATTAGAGAGTTGAACATTGATAGCTGTAATCCCAACTCATTGGCTGTTCAATTTCAGTTATACAATAAAATTAAATTACATCGCTGAAACTTTCATAACCTCACACTCACATTAAACATTGAGGTTAATTCTTTTGTTAAGCGAAGCCACTAAAAGTCAATAAAAGGATATCAGCTATACAAAAGCATAGCTGCCAACTGTCCAGAATTTTTCAGATTTGTTCCTAATTTTTAAATCTGATCTGATATTTTTATAAAAAATCCGAATTTTCCTAAAATTGCAATATTTGTGCTTTTAAACCAATCCCTTGTTCTGATCGCCACAATCGTGATTATTGTGCAGAAGTAATTTTCAGTAGCTTTTTATTGGAAAATACTATTCCTATAGCTGTTGCTGTTAGCTGTAGCTATAGCTGTTGTTGTTATTTCACTAAATTGAATCTTAAACAACTATTATTATTTTTTTAAAAATGTATTGTAGTATTTAAACATTTGTATCAGAAATATTTGCTTATGATGTAGTTTAATATTTACCTGTGTTTTATAATTTTGAGGAGAATAATTATATAATTATAGGTCATAGTTATTTCTTTAACTATTATACCGGTATTCCTAATTATAAAATATTAATATCATAAATTTCCCTCAAAAGTTAATGTTTATAGTTTATTTTACTAATTTACATAAGGTATTTAAATATATGTCTATTAATGTTATTATTTAATAGTTAAATTTTTGTCTTACTCTCGTAATTGGTGCGTATAATTTTGTCGCATAGAGTGTTCCTAATTTTTTATTCCTAAGGTTGGCAGCTATGCAAAAGTCAAAGAAAGACAGGTGCATTATTTAGTTAACATTATGTATGGATCTGACACTTTAATTTTTTGATGTGATTAAATTGAACACTTAAAATGAATGTTTTCTTTGAATTTTTTTTCCAGATTATGCAGGACATTTCTAAACTAATGCATGAATCTTGGAAGCAAAATGCATGTGCTAGACTTACCTCACTTTGTTTGAAGAAAAAACTTTGCAAATTGGAAGCACAACACAGGAACTCAAAACTTGTGTGATGTTAAATTTCATCACTCATCCTTCCTCCTGTCATGTGACTAAGGGTTTTAACTGACTTTTAAACAACCAAAGCGAACAAAACCCTTTCATTTTGATATTCTTGGTGCCTTCACTTTGTAAAATATATTAAAAGAATCTCAATGTCTGCTGTGCTTTTTCACAGCTCGGAATTACAGGTAAAGTGGAATACAGGTCTAATGGGACCTACTGCTCAATGTTGCATTAACTTTTTCGCAGGTCAAAAAAGGCATTTATATGAATTTTATCTTAATCCTTCCCAATCTGTTATTTCCGTCAACAGGGTTGGCAAGTTTCTGCCACGAGTGATAAAAACTGTTTGGGTTAAACAAAGATTTTATGAAAGTGGCAAAAATGGATTAATTTATGAAGTAAAAAGAATTTTTTTTTAAATTAAAAAAATGTAAATGGAATCAGTTTTTTTTTTAGTGATTTATTCACAGGTTCAAAAGCTCATTTAGCTTTTTTATCTTAATTAATTCCATTAGCAGGGTTGGCAAATTTTTGTCACTAGGAATAAAACTGTCCTCAATAAAGGAAAATTTTATTTAAGTAACAAAAATAAGAATAATTTAAAAGCTAAGAAATATTTTGGCTTACTAATAAATTTCACTTAAGTTTGATAATTCATAAATAAATATCTTTCACTGAGTTTCAGAAGATAAGCTTCTTATAGTGTTTTTAAATTAAGTATCACCAATAAGGTTATAGAATTTCTTCTTTTTATTTGCTTTCTACCAATTTTTGCCACGATCTTGATGAGAAAAACAATTTAGTTTGTTGATTTACAACCCCTATTAATCATCGTAATGCTTAGAAAATATTTTTTATAATTAGTGCATGGACAATCTAATTTTTTTCGTCACATATAATCATACATATTTTTTAAATAGAAATTTTTTTTTATTCTCTTTTTTATCATTAAGAGTTAAAAATTTAACTAATTTGAGTTGATCTCAAAATTGGAAGTGCAATTCAGTTCTTCCTGTTTTCTAAGCATTATTATTTTGGGTAAAAAAAATATGATAAGGTAGCTCAGATTTATGTTTAGACAAATTAAGATTTATGTCTAGAACTTTCTGTGAAAATAATTATATTTTATTTTAAAGTTTTTAGGAATAATTAAGTATGTAAATTAGTGCAGAAATTTACTTTTTTCATTCATGTTGATTGAGAAAATATTTTTCAATTATTCAAACAAGGCTCTATAATAACTTTGTATTTTAAAATAATCAAATTTTTTAAAAATTATAGTTTATTATAATTATTTTAGTTTTGCTTTTATAAAATTATTAGGCTTGTAGAATTAACATGTTGTGGTTGTTTTCAAATATATGTTTTTTCATATCTATCGATAAAATTGAACAAAATTTGTAGAAATATAGATTAAATTTTTCTGTAGTTAATCTTATCTTCTTCTACCTAGATTACTAGGAACATTCACTTGTATATTTCGTTTTGAGAATTTTGTATGTAGTTTTAACTGTTTTGGCTTATTATTTTTATGTTAACCAATTTCTATATCATTTGAATTAAAATTTCTCTACAAAATATTTTTTTAATCATGCTTTTTAACTCATTAATTTGTTAGTATTTTTCATTTATTTATTCTATTCAAAATTTTAAAAAATTTTTTTATGTGATATATCACACTTATTTTTTAAATTAGTACTTTTATTTACAATAGACTCAAAAAATTACTTTATTTTTTTTTATTTTGGAGTTTCTTAACACGCTGTAAAACTTTGAATAACTATTTCAAATTAAAAATTAGCTGATATGATGAGTACCTCTTGTTTTTACTGAATATCAAAATGATAGCTCATTTTTCTATGAGTTCTTCTAAAGAAATCAGTTATTATTTTATTTTATGTACCTGCAATTTTTTAAATTTACAATATTTTTTCTTTTTAATACTTATGCATTCACATTCGCAAAAAATAGTATGGACAGAGTAGTCCTCTATAAATTCACACCAAAATTTAATTAAAAAAATTACAAGATTCAGTTAATTCTAAATCAAGTAAATAAAACTAAATCAAGTTATTTTTCAAAGTGAAAATATTGTATTAAACATTTTTTTTTGTATTGCTTAACTCCTCATTTAATTGCCTGCAAAATGGTCGAAAAAAAAAGTACTATTGAAGCACTTGTTCTTTGTTCTTAATTAATTTCTTTTAAAACAACATTTTGTTGTTGTGAAAACCGAATTTAAAATCAAATAAATTTATTACGTAGCTTTGTTTGTCTTTACCTGGGATTGATTTTTTAAAAACATTTTTACTCTTGTAAAGACAAAATTTAAAATCACTAACCAATAAGATTTGGTTTTCCTTCCTCATTCGTTCTTCTATTGTGGTCGATTTTTTTAAAGAACATTTTGTTTCTGTAAATGTATCACTTATAATCCCAAAAATATGAAAATTAATTTTTTTCCCCATTATAAATCTTCATTTGTGATAGTTTTGTTTAATCAAAATTTTTCGTTGGAAGACGAACATTTATAATTTTAAAAATTGAAAGAAGACAAACTCATGAGAAAACAGAATAAAATGTTTGATCATATTTTGGTCAATATTATTTAAACTGAATTTCTTGTTTTCACCTTGATTATAAGTCAGGAAAAAAATCATGTTTGATCATGTTATGGTACTAGGACTAGATTTCATGAGACCTAGTCAGCAGATAATTAGAAGTTTGCTGATTCTTAATGTACTACTTAGCGTTTTTTTGGGGGGTCAACTATACTGAGTGCATTTGTTATGCTACTGCTAGTTAAACAAATAATAACTTCTAAATTCACATCAAAATTTTATTTAAAAAAAATAATGCAAATTTTATATTAAATCAAATTATTTTAATCACATGTTAAACATTAGATATGTCTTATGTATTCTTCCACACCCTATTCTTATTTTTTTTATTGGGGTAAAAAAAGAAAAAGAAATTCAACTGAATCCTATGTTAAAATTTGGTTAGCAATAAAAAAGGGAATATATTATATTCAACTGAAAACATTTTCTTATTCTGAAAACTAATTGCGCAATTTTGATACAATTGTACAAAAAATATGGAAAGAAATAAAGCAGTGAATGTATTGGTGTAAATGTTTATATTAATTTTATTTGTACATTTGAAGGGTTTAGGGATGAGATGGTGAACCTTTAAAATGCTTCAACTAACAATTCTTTTTCTTTTCAATTTTTTTAAAAATTTTTTTTAATTTTTTTAAAAATCTAAAACAAATGTCAAAAGTACCATAAGTAACAAGTACCATACAGTTTCTACAGTCGATAGTAATAAATTTATTGATTGTACCTGCTCAAAGCTTTGTACATATCTACTTTTGCAAATAATTTTTGAAATTTTCAGTTTAGTTTTGGATTTCTCTTTATAATTCACATATGTATAATAATGTACACAGGGTGCGTATCGTTTTTAAAAAGTGCTGAAAGGTGCTTATTTTCGATTTTTGTTTTTTAAAAGCCCTTAAAGGTGCTTTTTTCATTGGGTGTTTTTAAGAAGTTTTTAATTTTCCCTTTTTCAAAATGAAATTTTCCCTTTACCTTGTTGATTTTCGCTACGAATTATGCAAAAAGCCACAGTTTACATTGTTCTATCCAACGTTTTCTCAATTAAATTCAACCCCAATTTATTTCGGCATATTGTCAGTCCGTAGCGTATGAAAACGCCATTCGTTTTACATGATTCAAAATTTCATTCTTTTTGACAATGGTAAAAAGCAATGCTATAAGGTTTTTTTTTACATGACGTTTACAACAAGATAAAACTGTCAATTGTCACAAACTTTCTGACAATGCCTAATTATGATATTTTTTAAGTGCTTAAAAATATTTTTGAGTACTTGAAAAGTACTAAAAAGGTGCTTATTTTTTGTTGAGAAATTTGGCTACGCACCCTGTCTACATATACACACGTAATTTATAAGTAATGTATTTTTTAAAATTTTTTTAGTGATTGTATGCGAATAGAAGTAATTTAATTTGTACTTTTCGGTTGCCTCTGAAATACCTGCCATGGGACACTAAGTGGCATGCATGTTATAGAGGTTCACCGTCTCTGGTTTAGAACAATATAATGGTCAGCCACATTTTTTCAAATTACAAAAACTTCAATCTATGTGCAAAAGGTCAGGATTTCCATGTAGGCAATATGATGTTTTTGTGTGTTTTGTTGATGTTTTATGGAAATTCTGCAGACTTTTAAAGTATTTTTCTGGAAATAACAGTAAGGAAAAGTTTGATATAAATATATCACCTTTGGAAAAGATGAATCTTGTTTCTGTCTTGCCACAAACTCTTCAATTTTAAATACTATTTATTTTGTTCAACTAAACTGATTTATTTAAAAGATTGTCTAAAAAATTAAACTGTGAAAAAGGAAATTATTATTGTGCCAATCTTGCCCTCATATATTCTAAAATTTTTACTGTTTAAGCTATTGTACTATTAAGTTCATTTCTATTCTTTTTTGTGCAACTATTGCTGATTTTCTAAAAAGTTACACTATATAGAAAGACTATTTCATCAAAACACACTAACAAAATATCAATGCTAAATGACGGTAATTTGTTAAAAATACATTACAAAATAAATTAATCACAACATTAGACGAAGAATTTCATTTAGAAGTGGACTTTAGACTTCATATTTATTTATTAATTATGAAAAGAAATTCTTTAAATTATTATGATTAAAAAGATGCTGACAAACAGAAATTACCTTGTTTATTGGATACCTTTATATTTAAGCATATTACTTATGAAATAATGCATCCATTTTAAATTAATGGAAATTCAAAAAGATCGGTGCTCTGATAAAATATAACTGCTGCCATAATATAAATAGTTTTTTACCTGTTCCACAGTGGCCTTTGTGGAAAAAAATAAGTTTTTTAGTAAATATTACAGCCAGTATAATATCATACAGCCATATTATAATTTGATATCATCAATTTAATATTATATTTTTTACTTTCTTGATAAATTTTTTCAATCTGACATGAATTTTTATGTGGATTTCTAATACTCAGCATCAGATTAGATATTTTAATAAAACGTAAAATATCAAAAGATGGTAACATTGACATGGAAAACCCAGAAAAATATATTGGTTTGCTAATTATATACATTGCAAACTATTTTGAGATTTTTTTCACAAATACTATTAGTTTTTTAATTTTTAAAATTCAATTTCTAATACTTTGTTTAAAATTAATTTCATTATCGATTGTCAACCGAATTAAAGGCTATTTAGCCAACTATATTTTGAGGATATTATATATAGGTATATAATGCTAATGCAAATTTTTAAAGAAAAAAATTATAGTGATCAAAATTGTTACTTTTTAGAAAATCAGCTGTACATTTATTGCTCGAGGCAAAAAATGTAAAAATCAGTAA